GGCAGTATCTTCACAAAAAGGTATGTACCTACACATTTTTTTTTTTAAGAAAATAAGGGGAATATAGAGTTAGCGTGCCTACTTGTTGCTGAATAATCGAATTAATATACAATTTGTGAACTGTTTCCAATTGACTCTCCTGAAAAGTTGCAGGTCATTGAAGAGTCTCTTGAGGATGCAAATTTGCGAACGAAATTGGTAAGAAAAATAAATCATTAAAACTTGACATTTCAATTTAACATTCTAGGCCAAAAGATTCTCCATGGTTGGTGGTGAGGCACCGAAAGAAGTAACAAGATCAGTTCTGTAGGTACCTAATGGTTACCAACAAATTGGCCGCACAGTACAGTTTTGATGGAGGAAGAGGAAAACTAATATTTAAAACTGTTCCAGTTACTGTTAGGTAATTTTAAAAGTTATAATAAAACTTTATCTAAATTACAGTAAATTTTCAGATTCTGTAAGAGCAAATATCAAAACAAAGGAGGCAACAACTGCTGATATATTAAAGGAGCTAAGGCAATGGTTGGCTCAAGCTCCGTTCAGGAAAAATGAAAAATAATTATATAGAAAATTAGAATGAATAGGAAGCACTGTTCCAAAAAAGTGTTTTTTTTTGTTAAACATGTAATATTACATGTATTTTTGTTACCTACATTTATATTTTTATATAAATAAATTATTTTTAGAAAATTTTAATTTTTATGTGAATTAATTCCAATATTAAATAAACATTAGTAATATCCTTTACTATTTAATAAATATTTTGGTAATATTACTAAAATATGCATAAATATTTGCAAACCAATTTCCTCAATGTTTTATTAATATTATATCATAACATTTCTACAATAGAGGTTTTGGGACATCTGAATGTTGTAGGAATATTGAAATAACATTAGGCATTGGGTAAACAATGTTTATCCAATAATCATATCAATGAACCTTAATATACTGGCAATATTTTTAAAATATTTTTGTGTTGTGTGGGGCTCGACTCTGTTTCGTAGCACAAACACACAAATAGCATTTACATGGTACATTTCTTTGTTCTTTTATGTAAACTTCATCATAATTAAAAACCTTAATATTTAATTCTTCATTTTCTTCATCCTCACTTTGTAAATGTTTCTTACACATGTTGGATATATTGAGCACGGGAAGAGTTATTTTGTTCATCATAGTTTTTTATTAAACTGTCTTTAATTATCTTCTTCACAGTTTTCGGTATTTCTAATAAATTTTTCTTTTTTCGAAAACAAACTAAACACAGCAACTTTCTATTATTTTCATGACTTTTAAAGTCGGAATCTAAATAATTTAATTTAGAAAACTTCATGTTTAAAAGCACTACCAAACTGACATTTTAATTTTGTTTTTATTTGACGTTTACATTTACATTTTGTTTGGGTGAGTCATAAGTGGTGAACTTCCCGAAAGGTGCATGTAGGGGGGCCTTAATATATGTAGGGAAAAATGTTAAAAAAAATCTATCTGCTTTGGTACTCGAGTTATGGCCAAGAACTCAAAAGAGAATTTTGGCAACGTGTAAACACTAACAATGTTACAGGAAATTATTTGATTTCATTTTAATTGAAGTAACTAAGGAACTTATTTGAATTGTTACGTGCTTATATTGTTGATATTAGTGTCATAATAAAAGACAGCATTGAGACAGTTGTTGTGATTATAATACTTAAATAATAATAATTATTATTAAAACCAAAATCAAACAAAATAAAAATTTATGAAAAAAATAACATAAAGAAGCATGAACAAACATTACAAAAATTGCTCGAATTGATGCCCCTGATTTTCCAAACACAATTCCAGTCTTCTTCTTGTACTAACTTGTACATGGGTCAACATTTCTGGGGTCACAGTTGTTAAAGCATTTCGAATACGCAGTATTAGTCCCTCCTCATTATGTAGCGGTGTTTGGTACACCAATGCTTTAACATGACTCCATAAGAAGTCAAGCGGGGTCAAATCTGGCGACCTAGGAGGCCAAGAAACTGGGCCGTTACGACCTATCCACCTGTTAGGTTACTGTTCATTTAGCCAATTTCTAACAGGAGCGGCAAAATGAGGTGGGGCACCATCCAGTTGTATCCACATGTTGCGCAATGTGGCCAAGGGTAAATTGTTAATTTCATTAGAAATTTCGTTCTCCAAAATATTTAAAAATTGATCCCTATTCAACCGCCGCGGTAATATGATAGACCCAATAACCCAATTTTTAATTATCCCAACCCAAACATTTACACTGAAGCGATTTTGATGATTAAATTCCCATTTTCTATGTGGATTTTCTTGGTTATAATAATGGCAGTTTCTACTATTAAAATACCCATCCCTACTAAAATTTGCCATAAAAAACGAGTTAAAAAATCATCATCCTCATTAATTTTTCCCAATAACCAAAATACAAAAATTTAAACGCAAACCGAAATCGTTGTTGTTAGGAGCCTGAACTTTAGTGTAGTGGTATGGATGGAACTTCTCCTTCTTTAATCGCCTGGTTATAGATGTCTAGGACATGCCTAGCTCATGAGCAATCCCTCTGGTACTTCTTGTTGGATCTTCTTGAATCAGCTGGATGATTAACTCATCGGCTTCGGGTACAATCTCTAGAGGCCGACCAACGTCAGGACCTGCCGTGGGAATTAGAGATCCAGTCTCTCTAGCTCTGACCATCATCCATCTAAAAACTCCCGGCGATGGGTGGGTTATGTCAGCGAATCTTGCTGCGTATACCCGGGCTGCTTCATTGCAATTTTCTTCACAGAATCCAAGTACCAGCATCAAATTCACATATTCTTGATTGGTGTACATTTTATTAAATAGACTCGACAAAATAATAACCAAAAAAATAAAATATAAACGTCAAACTTAATTTTCGCATTGTTGATTACAAATAGACTCGACAAAATAATAACCAGAAAACACCAAAAAATATAAACGTCAATGTCAATTTTCGTATTGTTGATTACAAAGTTGCCAGATCATTTCAATTGTTAAAAAATCATTCTAAAACATTAAAATTAAAAGAAAATACACTTTTTCGGGCAATTTTTTTGCTAGGAAATATTTAAGAACCCTAAACTCTTCAGTAAAAATCATATAAGGTGGAAAAATATTAAATAATAAAAAAGTTAAATTTAAAACTTAAGACCTGAATTCCTCGGTCACTTTTTCATTTGGAATTTTTTTAACATTTTTCCCTACCTATATTAAGGCCCCCCTACATGCACCTTTCGGAAAGTTTACCACTTATGACTCACCCTGTATATCGCATCAAATTGTTTAAAAAGTAGATTTTTTTATTTCTTTTTACTGATTTTTTTTTTAATTCTATGCTTCTTTTGTCGATTTTTTCTCAGTCATAAAGTATTACAATCGAAAAAGAGATCAATTTTTAAAAACTTATCTACAGAAAGGCCGACCAACAAATTGTTTTCCCAAGTTACAAAAACTACGTTTAAAAATTACAGGAAAGCAAATATGGTAATAACCTTTTTTGTAGAAAATTTATTATTCTATATCTTTGTTAAAAGAGAATTTTGATAAAATTGATACTTTTTGCAAAATAACTAAAAAAGTAAAATTAGACCCATTTATATTATATTTTTCTTAATAAATAACAAAAAAACCGAGAGATTTTTTTTATTTTTGGTATTTTTTGTCTATAACAGGCATATAATCGATTTATGAAGAAAAACCGTGGTTGCCTGATGATCCGAAAATTGACCCTAAAAATCCACCGTGATATATTTGTTATTCCTGAAAATTTTTAAAAACGTAAGTTTTACATGTAAAAATGAACATATATCTATATTTACAATAACAAATTTCATCTAATTTCTTTGCTATTATATTTAACTTACCATTTGTTTTTATAATTGTTGTCATAGGGAAACAAATTATGGTGGTGGTAAAATCCAGTAGACAAAAAAAAATCGCGAATTGGATAAAAATGTAGATATTTGTGTAGGTTTAGATGTGAAAATTACATTTTTCGGAAATTACCAGAAATTACGAAATTATATATAACTGCTTTAGGAATTTTTTACGAACCGCCATTTTAATACTTAATTAATTAATTACTAATAATATACCTACCTACTTTTATATACACTGCGCGTCTAATATAACGCATAATAAGTAATAAGTAAATAAAATTCTAACTCTAAAACGCCTTTCTAACTCTAAAACGCCTTTGTGAAATTTTTTATAAAAATAATTCATTTTATATTTTAGTTTACGTGTTCGATGTTTTTTCGAGAAAATATTTTTAAAGCCCTTCTATTTAATAATAAAAAAAAGTTCGAAAAATAACTTTTAGGGATTTTTTTTTACTTAAATAAGAAATATGCTGTTAAAGACAGTATTTTTGTTAAAAACATTGTACTAATCAAACGAACAGTAACGAAGATACAGCAAGATACAGTTCAAAATCGGTAAAAATTCATTTTTGACGCGTCGACGCGACTTTGAAGCGCTGTATTTTTGTTACTGATCCTATGATTTGTACAATATTTTTAGGGTATACTAACAAAAATACGGTATTTCACAGCATATTTTTTGTTTACTTAAAAAAAATTCCCTACTTATAAATATATATACATATATTTTTTTTTTCGAGCGTTTTTTATTATCGTATAAAAGGGTACCCTTTTACACGTGTAAGGATATTTCGTCGAAAAACCCTTGGACACGAAAACTGAGATATAAGTTAAAGTATTTTTATCCAAAATTTTATAAAGATTGATAAAGGCGTTTTAGAGTTGGATTTTTTTTTACTTGTTACACAGGTTCTGCCTTTTTTGTATATAGGTTCTGCCTTTTGAGCGACTTAATATGTAAAAAACTATACTTTTTTAGATATTAAATTTCACGTTTAATGCTTTCCATTTATAAATGCAAAGGATTAAATTACCTATAATGTTTTAGACGTGACAAAAATCTTTTGGAATACTTAACAATATGGTTAATAGCATGCATATTTACGGAGATAATCAAATACAAAAATCTGTTTACACAGCTTCAAAATGTCGGGTTTAGATTTTAGTTAAGCTTAAATATACAATTTGACTGGACCACCTCTAAAATGAAGTATTATGGAACGCTATCTTTATCAAATGAAGCCACAATGCTTCCTTTTCTGCTAATTCTGTACTCAGTTGGTGTCAGTATGCCCCTTAAAATCGTATCATACGACACATTAATTCCTTTTCCAGACATTTTACAAAACATATCCCAACACTGCTTTTCCTTTGCGGATTCAAATTTCGGTTCTCCATCGCCCGCTTCTTTTTCTTGTTCTTCATTCCCTTTGTCTTTTTCTGTGGATTCTTGCAATTTTATATCTTCACTTATTCCAGAGTCTTCACTACTTTCGGTTTCTTCTGAATTTAATTCCGTGGCTTTTAGGTTTACCGATATCTCGGTTTCCTTCGAAATTTCCTCTTGAGATTGTGGGATACTCATTATATACTTATTATCTGCTGAATTATCCCTAAAAATAAGTTGGTATAAAGGGTGTCCAGAAATTATTGCAATTAAATCTTTTCACAGATACTTGGGACAAATTTAGGGGACACCTATTTTCTATTTTTGCCTCCCTCTTTCAGTGTCAAAACCCTGCTGTACAGTAATTACTAAATTTATTGGTGGCACAAATTATAATGTTATAACATTAACATTAAGATTAACATTATTATTAAGAAGTTAAATGAACGTAATCCATTGGAATCTTTTATGCAACACATTAACATTAACTTTAAGTTAACATTAAGAGATGGCCAACTTTTATCTTCTTAATGATAATGTTAATTTTTATTCCTCTTGCGCAGGTTGCGGCGCAATTTTTAAATAAACCGTGTCAGTAATGCCAACATACCCGAAAATAAAATGAAACTTACTGCTGAATGATTCATTTTTTGTTCAATGATTGTGTTTTTTGGTTTATTGTGTGATGTGCAGTTTATAGTTTTCATTCATTTTACCTAACAAATGCTAAAACGGGGTTAAAACAAAATTCAAACAGACCAAAAATGTCAGATGTAAAAATTACTTTAACTTATACGCATGCTTAATTTTCCACTAATTTTGCTGCATAAAATACCCACCTTAAATTAGCTTAATGTTAACTTAATGTTAATGTGTGCTCAGCACACTGTGCTGCATAAATCCAGCATATATGTGGAATCTGATAGTTTTTGTTTTTTGTCTGAGGACTCTTAAGGATGACTCTTAAGACGCTTTTTCGTATCGGATCTGAAATAGGTTTTGATATCTCGACCAGTGGCGGCTGGTGGATTTTAGGTATACCAATATCTCAATTATTAGATATGTTGACATTAAATAAACAAGTTCTGCGCAAGCAGAATTTAAATTGAAGTTTGCCAAAAAAGATAACTTTTTGCTCGACCGTACCGGCTCAATGAGGCTCCTAATAAATATAATATAAATTTAATTGGTGTAATTTATTATTTACCATAGTTTATCGACAAATTTAAAATTTTATTTAAATAATCCAAATCATACAGATTTTGTATCATTTTATTATTTCTTTGAAAGGAAATATTAAAAATTTTAAATGGTATAAAATCTATAGGGTTCCATATCTAATAATTGAGATATTGCAATATCTCAATTATTAGATATGGAATACCCAAAATCCACCAGCCGCCACTGGTCGAGATATCAAAACCTATTTCAGATTTGTCGATAAACTTTGGTAAATACTAATTTGCACCAGTTAAATTTATATTATATTTATTGGGGGCGCTATGGGGCCCGTACGGCCAACCCAGGTAGCACAACGTGACGAAACCGTGACGATTTGTGTCCAATTGGACACAATGGACACAAATCGTCACGGTTTTGTCACGTTGTGCTACCTGGGAAGCAAAAATTTATCTTTTTTCGCAAAAATTAATTTAAATTCTGCTTGCGCAGAACTTGTTTATTTAATGTCTTAATAAACTCATATAAATTTGGTGTGGGTCCCATATCTAATAACTGAGATATCGGTATACCCAAAATCCACCAGCCGCCCCTGATCTCGACAACCGCGTAGTTTTCAGTTGAGTCAAGTCAAGTTCAGTAGGTATTGATTCTATTTCAGATAAAATTGTATAAAACTCCTTAAAAGTAAAGATACCTACTTGCCATTGTCACACGAATTAAATGGTGTTTGACGCTTTTCACGCCTGCCTCCCAAAGTCCACCAAATGTGGTGACCTTGGGGGAATAAAACTTAAATTTATTTCTTCATTTAATATTGGGTTAAAAGAATGTTTAATTTAATTTATAAACTTTTTTGCCTCTAGAAATTTTTCCGCTTTCGAAAAAATGACAAAATGTGTTCGAATGCATAAGAAATTCTTAGTAGTAAAAATTAATTTGTTTGTCACTTACAAACGCCAGCCACCTACGTTTACACGTAAGAATTTCATTCTATTCTTAATAAGAATAGGTGGCTGGCGTTTGTAAGTGACAAACAAATTGATTTTTACTACTTTTAATATTATTATTATTGTTTTTTGTGAATCCCCGAAACAAATTTATTAAAGCGCATGCTTGTCTTTGAAATAACATTGGCAACACAGGTCGAGCCACAGAGGGTCGAGGTGTGTTTTATGTTCTGTGTGTGTCTGTGGCCATTTTTATTGCTTAAATGTGTATATTTGTCGGCGACTCCTTCAGCTGATTTTGTCCCTTAATTAAATTGTAAATTCAGTGTTTTTGTGTATTTTTATAATTGAATAAACGTGGTAAGTATTTTATAAGTAATTTATTTATAATGTTTTAAATTCAGTCAATTCCATAAATACTTGAGTAACTTGAGTAATAATCAATTTTATAGATGGAAAAGCTGACTTATTTAAGTAGAAACAATTTATACATATATTTTTTCTTAGATTTATATTGTAATTATATTAAACATAACATGTATAATATACATCGTATATGTAGGTACATGTTATTATTTAAAAAGCTAAATTTTTTTAGGATAAATATTAAAATTGAAAATGTCGACCTTTGCTTCTACAGTCTAGACGACTGCATAATTATTATTTCAGTTCATTTTTAAGATCAATCCTAAATTTTATTTATTCACTTTTCATATTTCTTAGGAAAAAATTAATTCATGTATGTTGTTCTGCAGGAACCCATAAATTTAAAAAAATTGAAATATTTTCTATAGTGACAAAAAAGCTAAATTTTATTCAGGAAAAATATCCATAACCATTATAAAATATTGTCATAAAATATTTAGGTATATGAATTTAGTTGATTAAATTAAATTAAATTAAATTCATTTTATTATAATTTTTATGTAAACATTAATATTTAGTAGGTACATTTTAGTTTATCTATTTTAGATTTATTGCGATTTGTACACAAATTGTAAAAAAATAAAAAGTCATTAATCATAAAAAAAATTAATTAGGATTCATACAACTTTCCATTGAATTAGTTCACCCTAAATAACATTGAAATTAAATTAAAATTGATTTTTAACTCAAAAATAAAATAAAAAACAACAATAATATGAATATTCAATAATCTATAAACTTGGTACCAATCGCGAGCGGATTTGAAAATAATAGACAAACAAAATAGATAAAATATGAGCTCTTTTAAATTGTTATTGTGAAGGTAAGTTCAAGTAAAGCTATTTTGCCAAAATTCATTTTCATGACTTAAAATATCATAAGTAAATGACGGTAAACAGGAAAGACAGCAAGTTCGCAAGCAAGGAAAGTGTCTGACCCGGAATTTCCGGGCCGGAAACGAATTGGGTAATTGGGACAGGTCGTTTAAACGAGCTTTTTAAGTTACAAAACTTAAAATACATAATTGTAAAGTTTAGTTTTAAGTTCGCAATAGGGCATGTTTAAATTTAACAACTAAAAATAATATTTATTGTGCTACAAGTTTTATAAAATATATTTATTATTATCATTAAAATATTATTATAATATTATTATACTAGTAGTATAATACCATATACAGGGTGAGTCATTTAACTTGAAACTTTTAAATATCTTAGTTATACTATAGTATGCATTTTACGAAAAAATGTTTAAAATAAAAAATAAATGATTTGAGGGGGGAAATAAATCGGTACTAAAATTGGTCCTCATACTCTCCTCCTTATAGGGGGAATTTTAAAATTTCCAATGAAACACCCTATTTTTTATTGCAGATTCGGATCATTCGACTAAAAATAGGTAGATGTTGTCTAAAACATTTTTTCATATTTGTAATAGATGGCGCTGTAATGAAAAAATCAATTTTGTTCGATTTTTCTTCTGTATACGATTCTCCAATAATTTTTGAATAAAATACTTGGTTTTATTTTTTAAATTTATTTATTTATTTTTCGGTTGAACACTACCGTTTGTAGTAAACTGCTTGACTGTACGGTAAAATGAAGTACGTGATCGAATTTTTTCCATAAAACGCAGATCGTAGATATTAACAGCATCATCAAGATTCCTGCCTGCTTCTCCATAAATCAAAATTATTTTTATTTATCTTCAACTGTTAAAAAATCCATTATGAATAACAGCTTAACGAAAGGAGGTCTTTTTGTTTGCAAATTAATCTTCGGACTAAATTGATTAAATAATGCTAAACTATGTATAAATAGTTTCTTTATACCTCAATAATAATTATTATTTATAACTAAAAACCTTTTTTATACCTCAATTAGGATTCAATTAATTACTTAATTGACAAAATGTATACTAACTGAGATATTTTAGTTTCAAGTTAAATGACTCACCCTGTATATAAAATACTAGTAGTATAATACTACTCAATAATTTCATAAATAAGTATTTTTATTTCAAATTTATTTAGATATACCTTTTATTTTTAATATAACAAATAATTTAAATTAAATATTTAATTAAATTTGAATGAGTATATATTTATACTTTATAAATATTCAGTGATTTAATTCGTAAATTAAATCAAATAACTTATTTTTTCTACTCCCACCTTTAAAACGCCCATTATCTTACATGTTTCCATGACACTAAGTGACACATTGACAAGTTGTGGCTTTATGGCGTTTTAGTCACGGGCTAAAGTTAGTTTTAAGTTAGTTAACAGTTGTCAAATGTCATACAATCGTTAAAATAAAGTGCCGTTGTAAAATAATACTAAATGTGAAAATTATTTTATTATCGCAATACAAAAATACAAAAGCTTTAAATAGTTTCTCAACACCAATATTTGAAGAGTTTATAAGAACATTGTACTGACCTTTTAATTTCGCCGGAAGTAAACTGGATATAAATTCGAGCTTGGACTCCACCGTGAAGTGCTCATACAACATTTTCTTTACTTTTACTGTGAAAAAGTGTGGTTAATCGATTTTTCAGGAATACATTTCGATTTATAACCTTTATAACACATAAAAATTTGACATTTGACGGTACCCAACACAGATTCACATATTGTTTTATAAATGGCGCTCTATACAAATATTTGATTTAAATCATTTTAAGATAATAATAAGTATTTGTCGTAGAAAAAGTATAGTATGCACTCGTTTATAAACTTTTCTAGACATGAGTGCACTCTCTTGCAAGCTCGCTCGTGCCTAAATTAAATTAGTGTTTAAAATGGCGTTTATCAAACTTGATACATAATATCGATGACTTTTTGCCAAAGTATCGCAAGCAACATAACTTAAATTTCGGGAATTGAAAACATTTTTTGTTTTAAAGTCTGTTTAAACCATATATAACCCATATGTTTTATAACAAGTAAATAGCTATAATTATAAGCTATTTACTTGTTATAAAACCTATATAATAGGTTATATATGGTTTAAAACAGATTTTAAAACAAATAATGTTTTCAATTCCCGAAATTTAACTTATGTCATCGATATACTACTATAAAAAAGTCATTAATTACCTAATTTAAACTTTTACTTCTAATTTAATTGTACCAGAAAACGAATTTTGATTAACATTTAATCTAAAGGCTTTTTTACAATTTACTACCATTAAAAAAAAAAATAAGTAAAATAAATTTAACAAGAATAATGCAAAATGCGTGATGATTGGGTTACCAAAAAGTGCTACATCTCGCTTAGTTTTGGGAATTTAAAAAATGAAAAAGGAAAACAAAATAAATTAATTATGACGAAATTATTACAAATTGTATATTTAAACAAATATTTTTAAATTTTATTTTTATGTATTTTAAAAATTATACTAAATTAGGAAAGGTGAATTAATTCAAAAAAGTCTAAATTTATTCAAAAAGTGTGATGACTTTTTCCAACATATTTAAATCTGTACCCCAGAGCCAGGGCGTTGCTAACATGGGTGTCATCCCAATAATTAAAATTTTTAAAACAATGACAATGACTTGTCAAAATCACTACACCTTTGATGAAATATAGGTGACTTTGCGGCACAAAAGCTGCAAATTTGCATTCTTAGCATACAAATGCACATTATGTTTATACAGTGTGTCTCACTTTTCATGACTCCCATATTGCAGCTCCGTTATTAGTAATACGATTTTTACAAAATTTTGGTCAATTGGACTTACCCATCAGGTGATCATGACGCAAGAAGAAAATTTAATTTTCACCAGTGGCGTTCGTTGTTATAACAAAAAAACAACAATTTTTTTTTAGAAAAATATATTAGGCAATTTTTAAATGGTCTGATAATAGCATATTGTTATTTACCATCATCGAAAACCCCCCTATACCAAATATGAAATTGATAGCAGACGTAATTAATAATTAAATCTAACTTATTATAGCACTATAAATTAATTATAACACCGGTGAATTTTATCCTATCATTTTTTTTTTCGTTTGAAATGCCGCCCCATTTTATCGTTTTAGACAGCTCCAAACCTTACATTTATGCAGGTTTATTATTTCGAGCTACTTTCAGAACACTGGCATGAAGATCCATTTTAAATGCTTGAATTATTTGGGCATCGTGAATGTGTGCCCAAGCAGCATTTTAAGTTTAAATAACTACAACTTTACTACTAAGTCTACTTTAAAGTATTTTTTACGGTTAATCAAAACGGTTTTATAACGGTATAGATACGAAAAATTACCAAATTTGGGGAATGGTTTATTTCGTTATTTTACCTACATAATAACCTTCTTGATCTACTAAGAGAATATCGTAATAAAAACAACATAAATACCACAAATTTACGTAAAAATAACGTTATAATTACTAACTGTTTGCTATCTCTTTCAAAAACATTGACATTCGTAATTTCTTTGTTCTTTTAATTTATATTTTACAAAATGGTACTTATAAAGTAATAAAGGTCACCCTATAGTAAAATTATAAAATATAACTTAAATAAATTATTAAAACTAATAATATTTTGCATTAAAACTCAAACGCACATTATTTTATTGATGAAAATAGGCAGGATACATCTTAAAAATTATATACCCTCTAAATATTTTACGGTTTTAAGAAAAATTATTGCTTTGGTAAAAATTCAACAAAACTTAAAACCTACAAAATTTTATAAAATCTTTTAAAAATCATTTAGTTTTAATCATTTTTTAATAACTAAAACTTTCTTTATTATATTTTAGAAAAATATTTATGAAAAAATATTATATAAATGTTAAGATAAGTAATGGATGCCATCTTAAAAAATTCATTATGGCGACCTGAAAAAAAATTTCCCTTAAAGTTTTATTTTTCACTTTAAGCTTATTTTTCCTTGTATAGTCAATATTAATAGTATTTAT